ATATCATAACAGTCGTCCTTCGTGAATGTAGATATCACAGATGTAGTGTGGTTCATATCATAACAGTCGTCCTTCGTGAATGTAGATATCACAGATGTAGTGTGGTTCATATCATAACAGTCGTCCTTCGTGAATGTAGATATCACAGATGTAGTGTGGTTCATATCATAACAGTCGTCCTTCGTGAATGTAGATATCACAGATGTAGTGTGGTTCATATCATAACAGTCGTCCTTCGTGAATGTTGATATCACAGATGTAGTGTGGTAGGCACATCATAATATCTTCCTGGTTCTTAGAATTACAGTTGCATAAAAAAAACACCAGTGACGATATTTGTTTGATAATTTTGTGTAGAGGAATATTTGAGTAGAGCCGTCGCTAATTTTTAAACCGACTAGAACAAAGGCAGCTGGTCGACTTCACCAATAGTCAACTATTGGATTTCAACTATCTGATCAAAAAACTGGGATTTCACCGCCAGTCTTATATGGCGCACCAACGGTCCAAGAGTGCAGTGCGCGTTTATGGAAAAACGTGTCGCAAATCATGGACCCTCGGATTCACAGTCTTGCCACACGAACCACAGACCACCATAGGCAAACTTCAAGGTGTAAAGTTATTACGGCACCTTTGGATTGACCTGTACTTGTAGCGTCCATAGAAAGTCACAAGTCGATGTTAAATTATTGTAAAATAACTATGTTTTGAGAACCACAGACCACGCACAGCCCAATAGCTAGGCAAACTTCAAGGTGTAAAGTTATTACGGCACCTTTGGATTGACCTGTACTTGTAGCTAACTATAACTTTCATAGACATATCTGACGACCCTTAAAGCTAACTATAACTTTCATAGACATATCTGACGATCCTTAAAGCTAACTATAACTTTCATAGACATATCTGACGACCCTTAAAGCTAACTATAACTTTCATAGACATATCTGACGACCCTTAAAGCTAACTATAACTTTCATAGACATATCTGACGACCCTTAAAGCTAACTATAACTTTCATAGACATATCTGACG